TCCCTTCCTCCCTTTTCCTGTTTCCCCATTTCCCTTCTTCTGGCATCTCTTTCAATATATCACTCGAAGAAAAATTTCATCCTTAAAAGACCTTTTATGACTGGCAGAGTGGCTTAAGTTGTAGATCACCTGCTTTCAAGCATGAGGCCCCAAATTCAAACCCCAGTACTGTCCTAAAATAAATTGGGTCAATAAATCATTTAAACAAGAATCTCTATCTCAGGCCATCTTCTCAGGCATCTGATCTATGATATCATCAATTGGAAAGAACTCATTTATATCTTATTGGCCTCTGTGAGAAAGAAAAATTTGCTGGGCCTGGTATTCATGTATTCCTAGCTACTTGGGAGGCAGAGATTTTGAGGATTGTGGTTTGAGGTCACCTCAGATAAAAATATGGTGAGACCCCATCTCAACCAATAAAAGATTTGGTGATGTGGTGACATGTGTCTGTCATCCCAGCTACTTGGAAAGTGTAAATAGGAGGATCAGAGTCCAGGCTAGCCTTGGCATAAATGAGAAACCCTATTTGAAAAGTACCCAAGGCAAAAAAGGCTGGGAGTGTGGCTCACATGGTAGAGCACTTGCCAAGCAAGCAAAATGTCCCAAGTTCAAACTCTGCTTGCCAAAAGGAAGAAGAAGAAGAAAAAATGAGAGAGAGAGAGAGAGAGAGAGAGAGAGAGAGAGAGAAAGAGAGAAGAAAGAAAAAGAAAGAAAGGAAGGAAAACTTGTTACGGCAGGCTATTGTATTGTTAAAAATCTTCAGAGAGGCGGCAGGGCAAGATGGCATAGTACGAGCTTTCACAAACTGGCTAATCTCTTAACGAGAAGAGTCAGGATAACAAAGTAGAGACTATATTCAGAAGAGAGAGAGCATACTGGTACCCTGAAAGAAGAACAGGACAACAGAAAAGCACAAAGAAACTGGTGACAGAATAATTAGGAGACTCCAGCCCATTGTGTATTTGAGGCCAAGTCATTGGTTGGAAGTTGTCATCACCTGTAGTCTTTCAGCTGAAATGTCTGCAAGCTCAGGCAGAAATGTGTAGTGGCTGGGTGGAAGTGTCGTTTCTCACCACTAGACTAGAGGGTATCTCAGTAGCCAAATTTTTGCCCATGTGCTCAAGGCACTTGGGGAGTGGAGGGAAAATGGAAACCTCCATCAAAAGATAATCTAGACAGCCATGGTGATAGTGGCAGACCTAGCTGTCGGACAAGCCCATATCTCCTAGAAGCCTTGAGCCCAGTGTGGGGATTTGGAGGGACAGGGCCTTCCCTGCTGTGCCAGGCTAGCATTGGGCAGAAACATGTTTTTGTCCCCATATCCCAGAAAGCTATATATCATCTTGATCAAGACTTAAAAATGAGGACCAATCATGACTCAGGGAGTCTTGGGAGACCTGACCACAGTGTCAGGAGGGAGAAGCCATGAAATGTGTTTGTGGAGAGGGAGAAGGTCTGACGTTGATCAGCTGGGAAGTATTAGCATCTAGAGCTCATGCAGTCTCAGGCATAGTGTGCTGGTCTGAGGCTCCACCCTCCTTGGCAGAGCAGGTGCCATTGCCTGAGGATCACTGCAGAAATGGCAGCAAGCCTGTAACTTGGAGTGCTCAGGTACCTGCCATCTGTGGAATTTTGTTGCCAGTTGGAGCTGATTGCTGTGAGCACAGGACCTGGGGATTATGCAATTTCCCTCAGCCTCCTCCCTCACACGGGGCTGGCTCTGAAAGCAATGTGACCTGAAGACAGAGCATCTGAATCCCTCAGTTCTCCACTGCCACTGCAGAACTCAATGCTCTGTTTCTTATTTCCTTCACTATCTGAGAAATTTATCGAAACCCCTAAGATTGGAGGCTAACTGACCCTAGGGGGACAAACTGGGAATCTGTGCAGCAAGTGAGAACCTGCCTGTCCCACAGACTAAAAATCTCCTTGCAGCCAGCTGTGGCTTACAGTACACAAAGAAGGGATGACTCTAAGGTGAAAGCAGCACAGAGGTGGAAACTGACATTTGACTCTTCCTGCCCCCAACCCACACATAGCACCAACACAGATGCTAGGAACTGTAACAGACTCCAGTTACTTCTCCTCTATTTGAGTGTTGCTGGGAATCAAAACAGGTGCCCTGAGCACATGGGCAAGAATTTGTTTAATTGAAACCCTCCCCACCACTGAGTGGAGAGTTGAGAAAGTACATCTCCACTCACACAGTCCTGCCTAAACACTGAGAACATTTCAACTCAGCAACTACAGTTGATTACATCTTAAACCAGTGGTTGGCCTATGCACAAATCCCTATACAGAAACACACAGTATGAAAAAATAATGCAACAGGACACCTCTAAAAGCCAGCAACTCCAGTGATAGACACCAGCAACAGTGAAGTACATAAAATCTCAAAAAATTCTAGAGAACAGGTACAAGAATGGTAACAAAGGAAAGAGGTACAGATAAACACCTGAATGAATTACAAGAGAATACAAATAAATGCTAAATGAAATAAATAAGGCAATGCAGGATATGAAGGAGGAATTCTATGAAGATATAGAAATCTTGAAAAAATCAAATTGAAATTCTGGAAATGAAAACTTCAAGGAGTCAAAGAAAACTCAGTCAAAAGCCTGGCAATAGACTGGATGAGTTTGAAACACAATATTGGCACTTGAAGACAAGCTAGAGGAATTAGAACATTCAGATAAAGATGAAGAAAACAAATATGAAGGTGAAAATGGAACATCCACGGCTTCTAGGTTACAATTACAAGACCAAATTATAAAACACAGGCACAGAAGAGAGGTACAAACCAGAGGTATGGAAAACATATTCAATAATGTAATATGAGAAAATTTCCTGAAACATGAGAAAGAGACAGTCATCCTACGGAAGGCTTTTAGGACACCCAGCAAACACACACATACACACATAAAAACCCCTCCAAGTCACATTATAGCTAAAACTGTAAATAAACAGAACAAAGAAAGAATATTAAAAGCTACAACAGAGAAGTGACAAGTTACATATAAAGTAAATCTATCTGATTTCTCAAGAGAAACCCTAAAAGCAAGGCGGACAGTGTATTTCAGACCTGAAAGAAAACAGCTGGTGACCTAAATTGGTATAGTCAGCAAAACTATCTTCCATGATTGAAGTAGAAATAAAAACCTTTCATGATAAACAAAAACTAAAGGAATGCATGAATGGTAAGCCAGCACTTCAGAAGATATATAAAGGAATGCTACCTGCAGAAAGGAAGACAGATGTAATCAGGAAAATACCAGAAAGAATAAATCTTACTGGATGAGTAGATTAACAAATGAAGCTGATGAAAGAATCAAACACTATGAAAAAGAAAAATGACAGGTATTACTAAATATATTTCCATAACAACTCTCAATGTTAATGTCTCAGTTCTCCTACCGAAAGACATAGATTTGGTGTGTTTGATGAAAAAAAAGACCAATCCATTTGTTGCCTAAAAGAAACATACCACACTGGCTAGACAAATACAGACTTAAAGTGAAAGGATGGAAAAAGGCACTCGAAGGAAGCAGAACCTGAAAGCAGGCAGGAATAGCTCTTCTCTGACATGCAGTATTCAAAATAAAATTAGAAGAGACAAAGAAGATCCTTTCATATTGAAAAAGAAGCAACCCATCACAAGATATAACAATTGTAAAATAATACACACTAAACATGAGCACACCCAATTCATAAGAGCACAGATAAACTTCATATAAAGTGAGTGAACTCCATGCCTGATGTTCACAAACCAATGTCATCCAGATAAAGAATCAAAAAGAAATTTCAGAATTAAATGACACCATAGATGAAATGGATTAAATAAACAAAACTGCAGACATGCACATTATTCTCAGCAGCCCAGGGATCTTTCTCCAAAGTAGGTCTTATTTTAGGACATAAACCATGTCTTAAAAAATATAATAAAATAGAAGTGACTCATGTATTTTATCAGATAACAATGGATTAACCCTAGAAGTCAACAGCAAAAGAAACTACAGAAAATACTCAAACACATGGAGCCTGAACAATACACAGTCAATGCTCAGTGGGTCAACAAGATAAAGCAGAAATAAAAAATTCCTAAGACAAATGGAAGTGAAAACAGAACTTACAAGAACCCTTGGGACACAGCAAAGGCAGCACTAAGTTTATATATAGCAGGAAAGTTTATAGCTATAAGTGCATATATTTAAGTCCAGAGGATCATGAGGGAATACATCAAAAACTTGTATTCTAATAAACTGGAAAATCTTGAAGAAATGGATAAATTTCTAGGTGCATGTGACCTACCTAAAAAGACCCAAGAGGACATCAACAGGTTTATACCTCATTCTATGAGGCCAGCCTTCCACTGATACCAAAACCCAAAAAAGGAAACAAAAAGTAGAAATTGTAGATGAACATAGATGCAAAAATTCTTTTTTCATTTTATCATTTTTACATTTACTCACCTGTGTATGTATATCATTTGGGCCATGACAGACTATAAGAAAGACATGGCGTTTTTGCTAGTTTGGATAAAGACCGCTATACAGAGAGAGATTCCTAATTAAATCTTTGCAAAATTTGTAATAAATCATTTGCAAACCAAATTCTTAATAAAATATTTGCAAACCAAATTCCACAACATGGTGAAGTGATCACACACTGTCGGGAGCTGACAGGTGTATGGAATAAACCGCGGGTTGGGTTTCAGTTTGGCACAGCCCACAACTGCAGAAAGGAGAAAGCATAGTTATTCCCAATAGATCGCTGCTTGAATTGGCACAGCCTCAACCGCAGAGGTGGGCAAGATGCGGTACAGCTGTTTAAGATGTTTACATTGGGAGAGAAGTTGTCACAGGTTTCTCCTGTTCCTGAGGATTACAATGTCACACTCTCCCCTGAGAAGTGTGTCTCCGCCTGGTGTTGCTATTGTGTATAATAAACGCACTGGAGGTGGAGGGGCCAGTGTGTCTCCATCAGAGCACCCAGCCTACCTGGCCCCAGCGTCATGCACGTTTTGTCTTTTGTGTGTTGTCTTTTCCGGCTTCTCCCATAACCCCATTTGTGCAGCCTGTTCTCAATGGTATATAAGAAAATTCCCTTTGTTCTGAGGGCTCAGCCTTTGGTCATGAGTCCACTGAGTTGCAACCTGCTTGCTTAGTAACTTGCATCCTGAAATCTTTGGTGCCCTCTCAGTCTCTGTCTCAGCCCTCGTGCAACATTTCTGGGAGCCCACCCTGGACTAGGATGGAGGCATTTCCACTCCTTGTCATTGGCTGAAAGTCCCCATCCCACTGAAAGAGCTGCCCCTGCCAGGCACCACTGGACCATGTTCATCTGAGTGGGGGAGCCTCTCTCCTGGCGAGCAAAGGAAGTGAGTTCTGGTTGCACAAAGACATGGGAAGGCTTGGGAACCAATCTTGGAGCCCCACTCATCAGACTTGTAAGAACCACAGTTCAAATTCAGACCTGCCTCAGGAGGCAGAAGGGAGTTGATCAATTCTCTGTAGGAAACCAAGTAACACCCTTTTTTGGAGTGCAGCTGTGTTTTTCAGGTTCAGGGAGCAGGGTGGAAATACTGTGCTGTGTTAGAGTGTATGAAAGTGCAAGCCCAAGACACAGCCTGGTTATGAAGCACATGTGGAGTCCCAATCTGTGGATCTGTGGCAAAGTCATATGGTCTAGGGTGAGCCCTAACAGGGTCTCCAGTCCAGAGTTTATATGGACTCACTATGGCCAAGAGACACCTAAATTTCCACAAGGGGTGCAGCTGGAGATGGGCAAGGTGAATGATGTTATTTGTTTTCCCTTGTGTGCTGCAAAGGAGAACCTCTTACCTCATCTCCACAGCTCTCATCCCTTCCATCTTTGTTTCTATCTAGATGTCTGGCAAACAGGAGGAATGGGAGAGGTCAGAGTAAAAACACTCCCCTAGAACTTTAAGAGGGAACTTAATGGAGATTATGGGGCCAAACTGACTCCTGACAAGCTTAGGACCTTCTGTGAAATAAACCGGCCTGCTTTTGGTATAGGATGGCCATTGGAGGGGTCATTAGATAAGGTCATAGTCAAAAGAGTTTTTAAAGTGGTTGTATGGGAGCCTGAAACACCCAGATTATTCCTTATATGGTTGACTGGCAAGATGCAGTCATTAGCACATGTGGATAAAGCCCAACCTAGAGAAACCATGTAGGGTTATGGTAGCCAAGGCAGCAGCAGCTTCTAAGTACAGGGAAAAATGTAAAAAGCAAAAACAAACCAAACCCGTATTAACAGTAGATCCCAAGGGGTCCCTGCCCCCCCATGTGCCACTGTACAGATTAGAGAATTTCTAGGAGCTGCCGGTTTCTGTGGGATCTGGATCCCCAATTACTCTCTCTTGGAAAAACCCCTTTATGAAGCAGAAAGTGGGAGAGTGGGAACCCATGGTATGGAGAGAAAAACAAACAACCAAAAAAAGGCCTTTAAAAAATTAAGAGGGTACTCTCAACTGCCCCTGCTCTTCTGACAGGACCTGCAGTTATGACAAATCCCTTCCTCAGACTTATGAGAGTCTGAGAGATGTAGGAGTCTTGACCCAGCTGCTAGGCTCCTGGCACTGCCCAGTGACTTATTTATCAAAGCAACTTGATGCAGTTTCCTGAGGCTGGCTGCCCTGCCTGTGCACCCTGGCAGCCACTGCCTTCTTGGGGGCTGAAGCAGACAAACTTACTTTGAGACAAAAACTCACAGTCTGAGTTCACCACTCTCTTTTGACTGTCATAAAATGTAAAGAAAATTATTGGTTAACAAATTCCTGAATGGCCAAATGTCAAAGGATATAAAAACCTGCATGTCCAGCTAGAAGTTGTTAAGACTCTAAACCCAGCCACCCTATTACAGGTTAATTCAGGCCCACCTGAGCAAGCCTGTTTAAGGTTATGGATGAGGTGTTCTCCAGCCGGCCAGCCTTGACCAACCAGCCCATTAGTCTTCCAGATGTTCAGTATTTCACGGATGGCAACAGCTTTGTTCCAAAAGACACACGTTTTGCTGGATATGCAGTAGTGACTCTGGAAACTGTCATTAAAAACACAACCACTGCCAGTCAGGACTTCTAATTTGGGAGAAAAAGTGTTAAATATAGACAAAAAAATTCTAAAATTACTAAAAGCTGTGTGGGCCCCTAAGCGAGTAGAGGTCATGCACTGCCCAGGGCACCAGAAGGGGGACAACAGCTGTTTGGGGAAATAGAAAGGCTGATAGGGAAGCCAAGTGAGCAGCCCTCACAGGAGGACAAACATCATCCTCACGGACAGCTGCCTTGTTCCTGTGTTCCTTATCTGAATGAGATCTATGGTGTGCTTCACGAGAACAGGCTTGGTTTGAGACTGACGGTGAAAATTTTCCACTGGACAGATGGTGGAAGTTTACTGAGGCTTGCATTGTCATACCTGAGTCACTGGCTCCCATTTGTCAAAGAGTTCCATGAAGGAACTCACTCAGGACAAATAGCCTTTGAGACCACCTTGCCCAGCATTTTTATGTCACCAAGTAAGACAATATGTAAAAGGTGCAGTCTGAGGGCCAAAACCAATCCCCGATGTTTGCTGGTGTTTGTCTACACCTTCTCAGGATGGATAAAAGCCTGCCCCACTCGGACTGAGAAAGACCAAAAAGTGGGTAGGTGTCTTAAAAAATCATCCCTCAATTCAGAAACTTCTCCATAATCTCTAAACAGTCTTGCTCCTGTGGGCCTGAATTAACCTGTAATAGGTTGTCTATTGGGTCAGACAATGAGCCTGCTTTTGTGGATGAAGTGGCTAAGAGTTAATGAGTTAATGGCTAAGAGATTAAAAGTAACTTAAAAGTTAAACCTGGCCTACCACCCCCAGTGTTTTGGAAAAATAAAAAGTATAAACAGGACTCTAAAAATTACAATAAAAAAAAAACTATACCAAGAGACCCACCTACTATGGGATCAATAACTGCCCAGAGCCTTGCTCAGGATTAGATCAAGCCCCACCAAACACACAGGTCTTTCCCCTTTTGAAATATTTATTTTGGCATCCACTCCCTTTAGTCAAGGGCTGTGAGGGGACCTTAAAAAATTGGTGACCTCACCGTGAGACAACAGATAAAGGCCCTTCATTTGACTCTCTCAAAAATCAATGACTGGGTAAGAGAGAGACTCCCTGTAAGCCTGACAACTCCCATGCACCCTTATAAACCAGGGGATGCTGTTTGGGTAAAGAAATGAAATGTTCAACCATAAAGCCCCACTGGCAAAAGCCTTTTATTGTTTTGTCACCTCCACAGCAGTTAAGGTACCAGAGATTATTCCCTGGATCCACCACAGCTGAGTGAAGCCAGCTTCCCTGGAATGGGAGTGTATCCCTGACCCATTCTCACCATACAAGATCACCTTCAGAACGCTAGAGACCTTCTCCAACAGGACCTTGCTTTCCAGGAGACAACACGAATCCATGGACAAGAAGACATCAGCCCTGCTCCAGTCACTCTGGAAGCTGACTAGTCTACGAATGGCGGAAGCTTGAGCAATTGCCCATCTCACCTTTGAGGATGAGTCCATTCCGTGTATTCTTGCTAATCTTAGGTCTTTATCTGGGGACACCCAGGTTTTGGACTGTGACTCATGTATACTCCCTACCTGAGTGGGGAATGCTGTTACCCTAACTCTGGTTTCCATACTTATTATTCTCGTGCAGGCACCATTGTTGGGTCATGCACCACAGCCATACCACCTACTCAGTGTGCTTTCGTGATAGTCAGTGTATCTGTTTTAACCCCATTTATTGCCCTTGGGAGCAATGGCTAGAAGTCCAAAGTTTTCAGCTCATTAATCACACCTGGGTTAATGACCCCAACAAACATGTGTACATATATGTTGGAATGTGTGCTGCAATAGCTGAAAACACTGGGCTTGTCAACTGTGGGGGGCTAGCCTGGGAAAGGACCTAAGGTTAAATGACAAGTATATATGCCCAAAAGATAACAGTGGGACATGCAGTTGTGTGTACTATAAACAACTCTACTGCCCTTGTTGGGGTTATGAAAGATGGGCAACTTAGCTTAAAGGGGAGGTCCATACCTCACATACAATTGCCACTCTTTTACAAAAAAGGAAGCAACCCTGACTGCACTCTTGCTGCCTGTAGCCCTGTAAATTTCACTATTTTCAACCTCAATTATACAGTCTGGGAAGCTGGGGAAAAGTCTGACATTTAATCTATAAAAAGGGAACAGACCCCAGTACTTTGCTGCATTTTCAACTAATCACAATCACTCATGAGAGCTCCTCATTCCAGGCCTTTCACTCATTTTATGAGGAGATACAAAGAGTTTCCCATCTTAATTGCAACCAAAAACCTGTTGCTCTCACTAGCTGAGTCCACAGCACAAAGTCTGAATATAATTTCATGTGATGTTTGTGGAGGAAACAAATGACAAGAGCCCTTTAATGAAACCACTCCCCCAGCCATGGGGAGAGCATTTGGCTCCTAAAAACCTCTATTATTATGAATTACTGTATCTACCATCCAAAAGACCAATTCTCCACTTGATCTGCTTGGGACAAAGATTTTACAATAAGCTACTCAGGAGACTCAGTGTGGGAGGGGGCTCCCAATCACACGGAGCCCCAACCTCAGCCTCTGGCTACAATAGCCTGGCATAATCTCAGTGTGAGTAACTGCTGATTACAGATTAATGATGAGAAAAAGGTAATTAAAGAGATTACCAGCAAGATAAAAAAGCTTGTCCATGTCCCTGTGCAGACCTGAAAGGGACAAAGTCCCAATGACCTATGCGGGGCTGGTTCTCAACCCTAGGTGGGTTCAAGACCATGATAGGGACCATGTTCCTTGTCTTAAGAGCATCCTGATATTACCCTGTCTGATCCCCTGGTACTGGGGTCTTTATCAAGATGATGCTCTTTGACCCAGAAGTGGGTCTGAGCATCAAAGGGGGCATAATGGCAGGGGGAGAAGAGAGATTAAAGAGTGCTAAGG